GTCGCCATGGCGACCGCGCGCGACGGCCCACAAGGCGGTGCGGCCGCTCCCGGCGGCCCCGCGCGGCGGCGGGGAAGGAACGGCCTGGGGTGAGGGGGGACAGGTACGGAGGGTGAGGGGGGACCGGCCCGGGGGTGACGAGGGACCACCGGGGCACGGCCGGGCTGCGGGGCCCCTCCGAAACAGCCCAGGCCGCGGAGGGGCCCGGACGGGTCCGTCAGGGCTGCGCGGGCGGGGCGCGCCCGGCCCCGCTGTCCCTCCTGCGTGTGTGGCGGCCCGGGGGATCGGGCCCTGCCCGGGGGATCGGGCCCTGCCCGGGCGGCGGCGGTGGCCGAGCTTTGTGCTTGGTTTGAAATTGTATCTCCCGGTAAAAGGCGTGAGGGCTCGGCAGGCGCGGTGTGCGGTGTGGCCGATGCGCTGCACCGCGCCCTGGTTCGGGGGCGGCGGGAGATGCGGTGGGAGTGAAGTTCTGCCTCAGGGCTTGCGTTCTCTCCCGTGTAGCTTTTCGGCCTTGAAAGAGCCCGTTGTTTCTTTGCGTCTCAGCTCTGTCCTGCTGATCATCCTTGCCTCTCTTACAGGAAGTTCTTCATCTTCCAAAATTAGTTTTGACATGTTGGGCTTCTCCTGCTTGAATAGTTTTGTTTGCGGTGTTGTTGATCAGTGTCATTGCTGTATAACTGATTAATAACTAAACCCTAGAACAAGAGCTAAACAGTACCTGTATCAGTGAGGATGATGGTAGGTGATACCCAAGTTTTAGCAGGCTGACTTGTGGGTTTTCTGTATCAAAACAGTGATCAGACTGTAACATGCTGAATCTCAAAGGTTATCCATTCAGTCTGAAAAGTTTACATGGCCCAAGAGCCGGTTGTAATTGCCCATATCTCTCTTTTTTCCAGGCTTGTAATCACCATGGCAGCAGTGGATCATTTCTCCCTCTTGTACAGGGAAATCAGTCGTTCCTGCAGTTTCTACATGGAAGCCCTGGCTCTTGTTGGAGCTTGGTACACAGTCAGAAAGTGTGTGTCTCTGGCGTGTGGCACTTACAGCATGCTGCGGTTGCACGTCATCCCCAAGCTGGGCGGAGAGGTTGATCTCGTCAGGCAGTATGGACAATGGGCTGTGGTCACTGGTAAGAGAGGAAGTGTCATATTTGCCTATATTTATGTGACATACTGTGCCAGTACTGTGAGACTTATAGCTTGTGCTGCTGGGTGAGCTTTATGTCACAGCCTGGGGTCTGTATTACCTCTGGTTGCAGGTTAGTCTGCTCGAGTGGCTGTTGTTCATTGCCTTACTAGATTCAGTTCCTCAGGATATGGACAAGCTAAGTGATTTGACTGACTGCTGAAAAGGAATTACAGCAATTTTCCCTCAAAATTTACAAGGTACACCACGAACACCTGCAAGTGTAGACAGAGATGCAGACGAGATCCTTTTTTTGCTATGGTGTTTTCATATGTGCTCTAGTCCTTCAACACAGTTCGAGTCCTGTACCTCTGACATTTCTGCCTGTCACTAAGGTTCTGCTTTGAGCTCTCTCTTGTCATAGAAACTTGTGTGAGGGGGATTGCAGAAGGTGGCTACTGACAATGTTGTCTTTAATGTTGTGCCTTTGAAATCAACATCTTCAGCGCCACATGATCTCAGAAAAGAGAATAGAGCTATAATTGAAAGAACTGTCAAAGAGAAGGCTGGGGTTGCTCTGTTTCTCTCCTTGTTCATTCTGTTGTTGTTTTCCCTGGCAGGTAGCACGGATGGCATCGGGAAGGCGTACGCCCAAGAACTGGCAAAGCGGGGAGTCAACATCATCCTGGTCAGCAGGAACAAGGAGAAGCTGGAGGCCGTGTCCAGGAGCATATCTGAGACCTATAACGTGGAGACAGAGTTCATTGTAGCTGATTTCAGCAAGGGGCGTGAGCCTTACCCAGCCATTAAGGAGGCTCTGAAAGACAGAGAAATTGGGATTTTGGTGAATAATGTGGGAATGTTTGCTGGCTACGCGGACTATTATACTGATCTGTCTGAGGATATGCTGTGGGACACAATCCATACCAATATTGCTTCTGCTAACATGATGACACATATTGTGCTGCCAGGTATGGTAAAGAAGAAGAAAGGGGCAATTGTGAACATTTCTTCTGTATTCTGTAGTCAGCCGACACCACTGGTAACAACCTATGGAGCCTCTAAAGTAAGTTGGGGTGTAATTAATGGTATGCACTGGAAAGTACATTATAGTTTGGTTGTGGTATGGGTTTTTTTAAACACTTGCAGCAAGGATATCAAAATACTTGAAGGTTTTCTAGGGATTTGTTTAAATATTGGTGGTGAATGATATATGTATTATGCAGTAAACTCTTCATCCTCACCACTGCTGGGCTTTGAACCAAAGTCAATGCTCTTTGATTTTGTGTGAACTGTGGCTTAACAGTAATTCTGGGAGAAATGTTGACTTTCTCAGATGCACAAAGCAGAGTGGCAGAATTTAATCTCTCTCTTATTCAGCTGAACTGTGCAGACTTAGCTCAAGTCTCTTACACACCAGTATTTGGTAGCTAGAGGGGCTGTACTCATGCTCAAGCCACCATTGTGACAAGGGCTGTGGCCAAAACAGGCCACTGCTTCACCTGACACCAAGGGGTGGAAAGCTTTTTACACCATTGTACCGTATGTACAGTGAGCCAGTTGTGTAAGGGAGAACATTGGCATGATCCACATCATGGATCTGCTTCTTATTGGCCTTTTCCCTTATCTGGCTCAAAAAACAACTTGTTTCTAAACAAAGGTTGGTTTGTTGTGGTCATTCTCTGGTCCTTACACCCTCTGTACCTGGGCTGTTACCATGCAGCAAAGCACCCACTAACCATTAACATTTCAGTCTCCACGCCAAGGTGTAAAATTCTTTACGTAAGATTTTCTTCAGTGTGGAAACTGGCTTAAGATTCCTGTTTCTGTGCAGAGTATCTGCCTCCTTGATTATGCTAAGTGTGTGTAGAACTGCACTCTGAACTAAAACAATTAAAAAGCTTGAATGAAAAAGAAGGAACAAACCCAAATATACCAAAGTTTCTTTATTTTAGCTGGCATCATTAATGCAGTTCCTAGATCAGCAATCCAGTCTTAAGCCTGGCCTGGGAACACAGAAAGGAGAACAAGCTGCTCTAGTGTTCTCAGCCTCTTTGTGCATTAACAATGCACAGTATTTGAAGTGATTGCTTTAGTTTTCCTAAATCACTTATAAGAGCATTTGTACAAGGTGCTTTCCCAGCAAACTGTTGGGAAAGCCTTTTGTGAGGCCATTTGGGAGCAGAAACACGTTTGCTCACAGGCTGCTCTTTCAAGTGCCCGTTCTCAGGGGTAGTGGCTGTGTGACAGGGCAGGAGCAGCAGCCTGGCATCAGTGGTGCTGCCCTGATAAGGCTGAGCCAGGCTCCTTCTGTCTGACTCCAGCAGTCCCAGTTACCAGTCTTGTGCTTTTTTTTTGCTATTCTGTAAAAGTAAAATGAGCTAAAGGAGGTAACACAGGTACACATAAACAAATGAATAATTTTGCATAAGGGAGTCCCTGGAAGTAACTAACCTGCCTTCTGGGGAAGGCAGTTGAATGCAAAATTCCCCTGTAAATGTATTAAAGAATGAGACTTCATTTTGGCCTTCTGACTGGGCATAGCTGGCTTTAATGCCCCCGAACACCCCAAAGGCGTTTGTTTTAGATGAAATAAATGTTTCTGTGCTGTTTTTAAGCAGAAATTGTCAGATTTTGTTAAGCAGCACTTTGTCCTGCAAGTTACTGTACTGTGGCAGGTTTATAGCAAACAAATAACACATAGAAACACACTTAAAAGTGCATATTTTTATAGTGTTTATTCAAGTTTTTATTTATTGAGCTGATTTATAAAGTATGTTACAACTTTTCTGTAATTTTAATAAGACTCTGCCCTGACATTTCATTGTTTGGGAAAAAAAAAAGAAAAATAAAGATGTCTCTGCTTTTGTCTTTCTAGATCTACTTGGACTATTTCAGTAGAGCAATACATTATGAGTATGCCTCAAAAGGAATTTTTGTTCAAAGTCTAACCCCAAGTACAATTGCTACAAACATGGTAGCATTCAACAGCTGGTTGAACAAGAGATCTTTCTTGTTTCCTTCTGCTGAGGAATATGCAAGTCATGCTATTTCTACTCTTGGGTTATCCACAAGGACCTCTGGTTTCTGGAAGCATGAATTACTGGTAATGGAATTCATTCAACTATTTCATGTGGAAATATTCATTCAACTATTTGTCACATAGAAATAAATCAAATTTTTACTTTCTTAGGAGTCTCAATCAAAGCTCTGCTAATATTCTGAAAAAGTGCCATGTGTATTGTAGGACTTCAAGGCATTGTGCCATGTTTTCTAACTAGTTCTGCTTTAGAAAATTATGCTTGGGCATGCTTATTTTTAAGATGGGAGAGTGAATCCAATTCCCACTTGAAATGCGCTGCAAAAATGGGAAAGTGACAAGTTTTTATTAATTGGCACAGAGCATCTCATTTCACTTGGGGTGTTGCTGACTGGCCAGCTGTCTTCTGTGAACAGAAACTGCTTTTTTCAGTCTTAATGTATTGAGCATATTTCTGCGTTGGGGAAGAGTGGGTAGGGAGGATGCATTAATAGCAGGGAAAACCCCCATACTTTTGTTCTAATTTATCTGGAAGCAGGTTCTCCATTTGTTAGGGTTTTCATTTTTGGGGGGCAGATTGTTTTATGCACATTGGTCACATCTCATGTATCCTGCCTACTGATTTCCTGTACCATGAGGTTGATAGAAGGAAGTGAAGAAGTCAGGTTTAGTCCAAAGGGAATAAGAGATGGGAAGAATTCTGGCAAGATGTGGCAATTAAAGCCAAGTGGACAGTACTGCTGTTGGGAACTTGTCCAAACTGCTTTAGGATTTATTTGCAGAACTTTACTGTTCAGCTGTGGGTGCTCCTTCTAAAACAGCTAAATAGCTTAACTTCCAAGGGCTGCAATTTAAGGCTTAGTTGCTGATGCTCAAGCAGGTTTTGCCTTGCTTTGGTAGTGATTTGAGAAGCAGTTGAATGGAATGTATCCTAACGTGTCCCTCCCTTTCCCTGTGCTCTGTTCCCCCGTGTGCCTCCCCACAGTTCGCGCTGGCCGAGCGCCTGCCGGAGTGGATGTGGGCACGGCTCGCCCTGTACCTCGGCGGGATCGTACGCGAGCAAGCTCTGCGCCCCAAGTGAAACAGGGGCATCCAGATGTCCTGTGTGACGCGTGGTCAGTGATCAGACTCTGATCAGTGCTGCAGAGACTGTAATGAACCCTGGAGGACTTCCTGTAACTTACCCAGACCTTGTTAAACAAGCTATGTAACCTAGACAGCAGGAGTCTGGATCCTTTCTGTATCCTTGTATTAAACAGCTCCTCTGGTGCTTTCCTCTGCAACAAAATGCTGATGTTCTTGGTGTTAATCTGTTCACTTTCTCATTGAGGTAGCTGGGCAGGAGCAGGTACAGTTTTATTTCTGACAGTAAGTGACTTCTCTCACAGGGTGCTACATGATGTCCATTTATAAAGCTGACAGAATTTGAGAATCCTTCAAATCCCCCTGAAACCACGCTGTTCAAAAAGACAATCCCAGTCGACTGTAAGAAGTTGTGAAGAGAGGGAGCAGGCTGGGGGGAAAAGGGGCAGGGCCCCACAACATGGGTTTGCCTGCACCAACCAAACCCCACCTCAGCTGGCCCTGAGCGCCTCGTGCTTTGTGCGGTGTAAAACTAGGGGTTGTGTGGCCAACAGTGACTTAGGCTCGTTTGCAAAGGAGAGTTAAAGACAGGTAACTTTAGCAAGGCCTTAAATGAACCTTGAGACAGGTGAAGCTGGAGGATATTTCTATCCCCGTCTCTGGTACTACCCACGTGTTCCTTGAGCAGCCAGACCCCTCACCCAGCCCCGTGTCCCCACATTCCCGAACTCCCTCACCCAGCCCCGTGTCCCCACATTCCTGATCTCCCTCACCCAGCCCCGTGTCCCCACATTCCCGAACTCCCTCACCCAGCCCCGTGTCCCCGCATTCCCGATCTCCTTCACCGGCCCCGTGTCCCCCCACACTCCCAGCTCCCTCACCGCCCCGCTGCCCCCTCACTCCCAACTCCCTCCCCTCGGGCAGCGGCTCCGCCCGGTGCCGGGCACTGCGCGTGCGCAGCGCGGGGCTCTCGCGAGAGCTCGGTGGTAAACAGCGCCCAAGATGGCGGCGGGCCGGGCGGCGGCGGCGGAGCGGTGAGAGCGGGACGGGAGGGGGCGGGGGCGCTGCGGCTCCCTCAGGGCTCGGGGGCGCGGGCGGGGCGGGCAGGCCCGGCCGCCCTTCCCGGGGCTCGCTGCCCCTCGTCTCGGGCTGCCTCGCCCGCCGGCTGTCAGTTCAGCTCCGCCCTGCCCGGGTCGGTGCCGGCCGCGCTCGCTGCTCTGCCCCGGCACCGGACACGGTAGCGTTGGGCTCGCCCGTTCGCCGGCGGGGCACCGGCACAGCTCCCGGTGCTGCTCCCCGCGGCCACGGCCGTGCCCCCCGAGGCTGTCCCAGCCCATCGCGGTCCCTGTGCCCGTCCCCTGCTCCGGGAAGAGCTGCGGCGAACCCCAAGCGCCGCTGTCGCGGGGCACGGGCAGGTGGGCAGGGGTGAGCCCCGTCCGGCCCCTCGCGAGGAGGGTGTTAAACAGGGAACTTGTGGGCGTGCTCTTCCTTTGCGCTCAGTTTCCATCGTACTTCAGCATCGTGCTCGCGTACAACCTGTTATCAGCCCTAAGCGTGTTTGCTCTGCTTATTTGTTTGGTTGTTTTATTTTATTGCCATAAGGGTTATAAGCGAGGGAAGTGATAAGGCTGGCAAAGCTCGGCCAAGACCAGCAGTCAGACTACTGTGCTGTAACTGTGTCGACTTTAGGGATGAAGGGGAAACTTTATAATCACAAGCTGTCCCCAGCCTGTCATGGTGTTGTCAGTCAAGGGAAAACTTAGTAATGCTAAATAAAGTTAAATAAAAATGAAGCAACAGCTGTCACATTCAGACTGGCTTCCTTCTGTGGCTGTGCTGTGAGGTCAGTCCATCATTCCCCTAAATAGTGTGAACCCCCTAATAAGGCTCCTCCTTTCCAGCCCTGGTCACAGCTGCAGTGTGCAGTTCTGCTCTGCTTCTCCGGTGGTGTGACAAACCAGGCATTAGTGTTTCTCTTTGCTTATCTCTTAATGGCCTTTAATCTAGCAGTTGCTGGTTAAGTGTTTGGAATGCAAAACAATACTAGCATTGCAATTTTTCCTGAGTGCATTCTGCACTTTGGAACGTCAGGGGAAGAGGCTGTCCTTCCAGGTGGGAAACACTTCCAACACGTTCCTTTAGCTTCACATTATTGCATTCTGTAATCAGCCCTTGTTTTCTCGGGTGCCCCTGTTTAGTAATGCATGTCCCAGCTCAAACAAATTTGAAAGACTTTTTTCATGCCCATTTTCAAGCACAGGGACTGCGAGTTTACCTCCTCTTCTGTCTCTTGTCCTTACCAGGCCTTGACATAGAGTTTGAATCTGATTTTTTCCTCTTTGCTTCCCTTACACAAAGTGTGGTTGAGTTTGTTGCTGTTGACTGTTCTGTTGTCAGATTAACACTCAAGTGTTCCACATCTGCTCTGGTCTGAGCAAGGGAGAGACTTGAGTGTTACTGAAAAATTATTAAATGACATGTGAACATTTTTCCTGATTATTTCTAAAATGAGCTACCGAGGGTGTCGTGTTTTGGGGGTTTTTTAGGTTTTCAGATTATACAGTTGCACAAACATCAATCTAATTATTTTCTATATTGCCCTGCCTTACAGGTTGGCTTGCAAGCAGCTTTGCTAATTCTAGGGAGTTAACTTTGCCATCAGAAATGGAATACAGGACTCAGCTACCACATCCTGAGTGACCAAATCGTTTAATACAAAATGGAGAAGAAGCGTAGAAAGAAATGAGCCTGTTTGTTAGGCTTGACCTGGAAAGACCATGAAATCTCCACGTATTCTGGACCCAGCTTTAAGAATATCCAGTTGATCAGCACAGCGAAAGCAACGTTTACTGAAACAAAAATGAACTAGTTTATAAAGAAGAAAATTGTGATTTGAATATATGGAATTTTTGGAATGAAACCATTTTCTTCCATGACCATGAAGTTTGCAAACATCTGGTTTGTTCTGGTTGTTCTTTTACTCTGTGGCAAAAAACACTTTGGTACCAGACTAGGGAATTCCTCTCAGGAGGCTCACATTTGTCCTGGATGTTCTCGCCTTACTCTGAAAGTGGAGTTCACCTCGACAGTCGTGGAGCATGGTAATAAAGAGTTAAGCAGTAAAAAAAATCCCTGTGAAGTTCAAGTGTATGGTACTGATTTGTGGTGTTGTGCAGTTGTAACATTCAGGGTTTCTGTAGAAGAATCATCTGCTAAATTCTCTATATTCAAAAAGAGAAACGCTTTTCCGAGGTTCTTTGTTTATCTGGATACCGTGTTCAAAGAACGGGAAGGGAGAGGGAAATAAAGAGGGTGTTAAAGGTGGAAATGGAGTGTGAAGGCTCAGGTGGGCAAGTTTGGTATGTTCAGTAGCTGTTTGTTTCGACCTGGTGCTGTGGTTGAGGTTCTTTTATGAAATGTAACTGCACGAGTGGGCCTCGAAAGAGTGACAAAGGCAGGAAGTCTCTGTGGGTTTGCTTAAGTTTGGAGGCGATAGTATGTGCATGGAAAAAGTGCAGATGATTGCACAGGGAGCAGGTGAAAGGCCAGGTGAGGCAGATGTGGCTGCTGAGATGGCAGGGGAAGCAGTGGGACACCTTGGCCCTGCCTGCCCTTGCTGCCTCAGGTCCCTGTGATGTCCCCATGGAGCTGAGCTCCAGGGAGGGTGACAGCAGTGACATTGCTGTGCCTGGGGAATGTGGGGGGTGTGCTGGGGCTGAGCCCACTCCCAAAGCACTGCTGCACATCAAGGACTGCACTGGTGGATTGGCTTCATTGTCTGAGCGTGTGATAGTTGGGAAAGTCAGTAATTTGCACTAAAACTCAGTACCATGCAGAGTCTTAAAGCTTACCTGTTAAACACACTGAATTGGCAGATAAGTTTGTACTGCTGGATGTAACAGTAAGTCTGTTCCCTCTCCCCTGCTCCTGCTACATCATTTCATCTTCCATGACACTTAAAATTCTACCTTCCTTTCAAAGGTTTTTATCACATCTTGCAGGTTTCCTGATGCAACACCCCCCCCCCATTATGTAGCAGAGAAATAAATTGCAGATTTCTAAAAGCAATTAAAAAGTGCCTCAAATTGTGGTTATTTGCTCTAAATAAAGAAAGAGTCAGACTTTGTGATGTGAATGCATGAGTAAGCTACCAGTTCTGATAAGTTGTGCTGTTGTTGCAGAGTACATTGTGGCTTTTAATGGATACTTCACAGCTAAAGCCAGAAGCAAATTTATTTCGAGCGCGCTAAAAAGTAGTGATATTGAGAACTGGAGGATTGTACCTCGCAACAACCCAGCCAGTGACTATCCCAGCGATTTTGAAGTCATTCAGATCCATGAGAAGCAGAAGGATGGAGTGCTCACACTGGAAGACCACCCGAACATCAAGCGTGTGACACCTCAGCGAAAGGTCTTCCGCTCGCTCAAGTATTTGGAGTGTAAGTGATTTTCTGTGATCAGAGATCCTGAGATCTGCTTTGGAAGTGTTCTCAGCCTTATTCCAAACCATCAGCGGAGCATCACAGAAATGAGAAGTGTCCTGCAGCTTTTCTTTAATTTACAGAAATCTGTTGTTTTGCTTAGAAAATTACCATGGTCCTGTCATAACCTTTGCCAAAGCATGGCAGTGGTTCTGTCTACAACATAGAAACACTTCCTTTGCAGCACTCAGTTACCTGAGACTATGGACCTCTGTGTCCCTAGCAGATAAACCAGAAGCTTTTACTGATTTTGATCAGAGAAAATGGATACTCAGTAGTAACAATATGATGTGTGTATTTGCATAAAAATCAAATCTTTTGCGTTTTTCCTCACACTGTTTTTTTTATCCTGATGCTGCATAGCTGATCCAATGCTGCACTGCAATGAAACCAGATGGACTCAGAAGTGGCAGTCATCCCGCCCCTTGAGGAGAGCAAGCCTCTCCTTAGGTTCTGGCTTCTGGCATGCAACAGGGAGACACTCCAGCAGGCGCCTGCTGAGGGCTATCCCTCGCCAGGTTGCTCAGACCCTGCAGGCAGATGTCCTCTGGCAGATGGGTTACACAGGTAGGCTTTTGCTTGTTGGCTTAGAACAATAACCTTGGAAAAACAAGTGAAGCCTAAGGAGAGGCTAACTGACTTCTGTGTGTTTATCTCTCATTGGGTGCCAGATCCGGAAAGACTGAGAAATAATTTGTTTTGAAATGCACTGTATATTTATGGAATGTTCATCTCTCTGTGTGTGTACTGTGTTTAGGAGAAGCTGGTCATATTTATGATCTTTGGCTGAACTTCTGAATTGGAATGGGAGTTTATTTAAGATCTGTAACTTACTGAGGTTGTAAATTGCATGCTACATTAAACAAAAGTTCTCTTTAACTTGATAGAATAAATTTACTATGGAGCTGAATCAGAAAAAGTAATAATGCTTTTCTATTAATAGGTGCTGGTGTGAGAGTAGCAGTGTTTGACACTGGCCTGAGTGAGAAACATCCACATTTCAAAAATGTAAAGGAGAGAACAAACTGGACTAATGAGAGAACCTTGGATGACGGTGAGTAACTGTGCAGTTTTCCAACTATTCCTGACCCTGGCGTGTTTTGCACTTGCTGCTGTGCTGCCAACATCTGTTCAAGCCTTATATTTTGAGATTTGAAGCTGAATTCTGCGGTGTCTCTAGCACTTTGTACTCAAACCAAGTTCAGCAAAGGGTATTAAGGTTCCAGGAGGGTGTTGCATAAATCTCCTTTGAATCATACGTGACACTCCTCATGGCTGTGGAAAAATGTCAGGGCAGGAAGATGTTGTGTAGGTGTAAATGCACTGTCACAGTAGGTGGCAGTGAGAGCAAAGCCCACAAGGCTGTTGGCTTTCCTACTCCTTTTTATGTTGCTGTTTCATACTTCTGGGGGAGAGCATTTACCTTCTTTACTGTGCAGTCCTAAACTGAGAAGACTTTTGGCACCTTCGTGGAAAGTTTTTCTGTTCTGTATAATTGAACTTTTTATTTTCCACAGTATGTTTATGTTCCTTTTTCAAATGTCGTCCCTAACCTGCCCTGACCGTGTGCTGTCACACATTATTAACTCCACACAGTCTGGGTCAGTGAGTCAGCTGGCAGTGTAATCTCTCTAGAGTTCAAGGCAGATGCTTATATTGCTGAGTCTGGTGTGCATCTCTGTAGTTTTATCATGTGTAGTATTTCTTTACATTGCAGCAACTGCTTTTGGTAGCTCTGTTCTGTGCCCACACGGTTGCTGCACAGGCAGACTTGGAGTACAAAAATATAATGTAGGCAGTCCAATAAAGCAAAAGCTAAATTACTTTTTTGAGGAGAGGGGAAAAAAAAGGTGTTTCCTTGTCTCATTGTTCATACTTAACAAAATACGGTTGTTGCAGAGTCGGGATAAAAATTCTTTAAGAAGTTGACATTAAACTGCATTGACTTTGTGAGTTGCATTTTCCAAAATACTGGTTTTCTCTCGTGATTCCATTGGTAGCAATCAGGAGTGGATGGACTGCAGAGTGTATCACTCAAGTTTCAGCAGCTGGTTTTCTGGCTACCCAGGGCTGCAAACTCTGTCCCCACTGAACCTGGTACCAAAATGCAATTCAAAAAGACTAGGAGTGAACCCAGTGTTTCTGGTTGGTTGTAAAGTCTGATAAATTGATGTGATTTTTGCTATAGGTGATGCTTAACACTATAAATCCTTGGCAATGTTTGTCTTCTAACATCTTATTTTATTTCCTTCTCCTGGTGATAGGTTTAGGCCATGGGACTTTTGTGGCAGGTGTGATAGCCAGCATGAGAGAATGCCAGGGATTTGCTCCAAATGCAGAACTGCACATTTTTAGAGTGTTCACCAATAATCAGGTAGCTATTTTACATGTGTTTCAATTTCTGCCTTTCCGGGTTAATGCTGTAATAATCCTTTGAGAATATTGCATGCACTTGTAAATGTAGACATGGATAAGTAGGAAGGATAGAGATATTTGTAAGAGACCTACCACAAGATTTCTTACAGTTTGCAAATCTGGTATATTTTTCAGAAATAGTATGTGGAAGTCTGATCTGTGTAGTGTGGGAGCAGTCACTCAAATGTACTGAGCACTAGAAATTTAGGGAGACCACTGTCACTTTTGTGCTTTATTCTGTTGTTGTCTCTGCTCTCTCTCTGCAGTCTGTATTGCCATGGAATCACTGGATTTTTTTAATGATAACTTTTTCCCCCTTTTTCTTTACATAGGTCTCATATACGTCTTGGTTTCTGGATGCCTTTAATTATGCAATTTTAAAGAAGATAGATGTGTTGAATCTAAGTATTGGTGGGCCAGACTTCATGGATCATCCATTTGTTGACAAAGTTAGTATGAGGAAATAAAGTGGTCCTGGTGTTTGAATCCCTCACACAAATGCTGGACTTGCAGAGCTGTTTGTTTGCATCTGGTCCTGCTGACAGTTTCCATGGAGGCTCATTTGATGAGAGAAATTTTGTACAGTGCACAGGCTTTTAGGAATATATTTAAGGAATGGATTAAAAAACCCCAAGCACAACCCAGATGTTCACAGAGCCATGGAAAATGCTCTTTTACAAAATGCTCTGTGTACTTCTAGGAAGTGACTCCCAGGCAGATAACTAAGAGGACTTTTAAAGAAGATGCTTAACTGAAATCCACCCTTCTTTGGGTTTTTTGCATCTCTGCATGGTTAATTTGTTTAATGGTAAAAAATATGTATAGTGTGAATTTAGTGAATTTCCTAAACCAGTTTGTTTAAGAGCAAATAGGTAAAAAGGTACAGGTAGTTGATTCAGCTGTGTGGCAAGATATTTGTTTCAGGTTAGGATGGAATTAGGTTTTTGTCTTTGTAAATGTCATGGTTCCCTGAATCGTTGGTCTGGCCTTCAAAAGCATTAAGTGGATAATTTAGTTTTTAAAAAAGGATACAGTCTTTCTTTGTAAAGGGTAATTAAGAGGTTTGAGGCATACAAATTCTTCCTTGTTTTTTTTATGATAACCTGCATTGAAATGTGGTTTGACAGTGACTTCACTGTACTCCCCAGAGTACTACTGGAGGGGATTCATAATCACTGCTCGGCTTTGGCATCTGTCCTACTTTGTTATGGACAGGAGTTTTTCTTTGGTGTAATATAAAAGGGTTCTGTCAGCAGTGTCACATAATCTTAAGTAAGTTTGGAGCTTAATACTGGATATACTGGATGTATTTTGTGAGTCTGAGTAAGAAAGAGGTGTTGGACTAATCCTTCACTTCTCAGGCCCCATGGAGTATTTGTTTTTTAGAAAAGACTCTTTTTTGGTGGCAGAGCCTTATGGTGAACGTTATTTTTTGTAGGTTTGGGAACTGACTGCTAACAATGTCATCATGGTCTCTGCTATTGGCAATGATGGCCCTTTATATGGGTGAGTTTCAGTGACCACTTCAGAGAAAACCAAGCATGTTGTTACGTGGTTTTGGAAGTAGTTGTGCTTGCTCAGGAAGTTTTCTCTCCTTTTTTTTCTGTGATCTGTTTATAGAAAGTGACTCAAACTCTTTTCAGTATCCTTATTGCTTGCATTTTGTGAAGTACTTAGCTAAATATTTTTCATTGAAACAGTGGAAAGTCAGTAAAAGAAGAATGGCAGTGCTTCCAGCTGACATTTTTCTGTTAGTATGAGCAGACTGACCTTGGACTAAAGGGATACAGAAGGGATCAAGCCACAACAATTTGTGGTATATTTCTAAAATGAATGCCTAAAAGGGGATTTTGTTTTGTCTTCAGGGTGTGTGGTTTGGTGGTTACTGAGTTAGTGACTGCCTGCTAAGTTGCTCTCACTTTTAAAGTATAACTGTATCTGTTAAGGCCAAAATTTGTTTCTGTGGAGATTAAAAAGAGTATCTGACAAAAATCTGGTGGCAGCGTGTCTGTCACCAAGATAAACTTACTACTGTGTCTTGGGTTTTGGGTGTTGGTTTGTTGGGTTTTTTTGTTCCTATCTCCCAACTTGTTGTAGGACTCTCAATAATCCTGCTGACCAGATGGATGTGATTGGAGTCGGTGGCATTGACTTTGAAGACAATATAGCTCGCTTTTCATCTCGGGGAATGACCACTTGGGTAAGACACTCTGGCCAGCCACACTTGCACTCAAAATAAGGGCCTTGGAAAGGCAGCCTTTTTCCAAGGGGTAATCCTGTGCAGATGGGACGTGCTGGAGCACCAATGAGGAAAGATTTCGTGAGAGATCAGAGTATTAGAGACTGTAAGTCTTTAAGCAAGAAACTTAATGTTCTTTTCAGGGTGTCTCCTTATTAATCCTGACCACTACGGACATTTTTGGTAAATTTCTAAAATATCCAGTTCCTTCTGATTGATGGTGAGGACTTGTCTGTGGGGTTAAATCTGCAAACATGAAGGCCTGGCCTTGTCCTTTAGTTTAAAAATCCTGGGATTTCCAGATGCTACATGTAACATTGCACTTACTTACCTGTAGAACTGAGGTCATGGTTGCTGCACACGTGATTTCAGATGAGCTTGCACTGTGATTCTGATGGAGGGGAATATCACATGGTTTTGTTTGTGGAGCCAGGTGGTGGCCAGGTTCTCCTTTTGTCAGTGCTTTCATGCTTAGATACTGATCAGCAGTAACGCTGAAATGTTGAGAACTTCTCATGAACAGCCTGAGTCTTTCTTTAGGTTGCTATTCCGTGGTGCTGAACCTCAGCTAATTTAGGTGATAATTTTACTTCTGAATGACCTGCAGTTACTTTAAGTGCCCAGATGAAGCAACCAGTGTTCATTATGCATTAGGGCAGTAACCCATCTGTTTTCTTTCCCAGGAGCTGCCTGGAGGTTACGGGAGAGTGAAGCCTGATATTGTCACCTATGGCTCTGGGGTGAGAGGCTCTGGCATGAAGGGTGGCTGCCGCTCTCTCTCTGGGACCAGCGTGGCATCTCCCGTGGTGGCAGGTGCTGTCACTCTGTTAGTGAGGTGAGTCCTAAATAAGAACCTCTAAGAAGATAGCAATCAGGAGGGTCATAAAGGAATTCACTGAGTAAAACCAAATTGTGTTTAGATGTAGGAAAACAAACTTGAACTGTTAGATCACTCTTTTTCTGCCTGACACATTACCTTGTCTGGCTACCTCTAAGTTTCCTGGGAGAAACTTGAGAACTGTTTTGTATAATAGATAACTGGAAAGAATAGTACTATAAAACAATTTAGTCCCATTTTTTAGTCATCTGGAATTGCTGAGCTTATATTAATTGTGTTATAGAAGAGCAGGTGCTCAAAGTAGGCACCTGTAGCAGATAATTATCTGCACACTTTTGAATTTTATAGGATGTAGGGTTTTATGGCTTTTACCCAGTTGCATAAGTCAGCTGTTGCAGATGAAAGAACTTGGAGGTGAGAATGGCAGGTGTGTCCTCCATGTTTGCCATAGCTACCTAAGGATGAAACAAACCTTTTTTGGAGAAACATGCTAAAAATTCAAAGTCCTCATTGCATTTCCCCTGTAAAATGGTGCATTTTTCTTTGAACAACAAAGCTATTTTCTCCCCTTGGAAGACAGAGTATTTTATTTAGCATATAAAGATATTACCCTGATTGTAATGACTGCGGGTCATGGAGCACACTGTAAGGAGAAAAAAATCATGTATTACGCTATAAGGAGAAAAAAATCATGTATTACTAGTTTTTAAGAGAAATACATCAGAAACTTGTCGCTGTTCTACCTCTGAATCAGTGAGAAATTTGAGCAATAATAGACCAATATGAACAGAAGATGTTACAACAAACTGATTTTTTGGATTGGATTTTCTTTAAATCAAATGGCTGTTAAGGCAGAACATTAAACAAGGCTGGCTAAAAACTAGAGTAAAGGCCACCTAATGGGATTTATTGTTTCCTCCTTCAGCACAGTCCAGAGGCGTGAGCTGGTGAACCCCGCGAGCATGAAGCAGGCACTCATTGCGTCAGCACGGAGGCTGCCTGGAGTCAACATGTTTGAACAAGGACATGGCAAATTGGATCTTCTGAGAGCTTATCAGATCCTCAACAGCTACAAACCGCAGGCCAGGTTAATTTTAATCCTTAATTAATCAGTGGTGCACTGTAATGTGTTCTGTTCTTCCGAGAGCAGGCGGTGCAGGTGTCACTCTGTTGAGCAATCTGTGCTTGGGCAACAGCAAGGACTTGCACAGATCTTACATAATCCTGAGGCACGAATTTGGAGAAGGGAATGGATGAAAAGTCTAAAGTATTTTCTGTCTAAGTTATAGCAGTGTAGGGGATGCTTTATTTTCTCTTATAGCCTTAGAAGTTATGAGTAATGTAACTTTGAACACAGTGGAGAAGTACTTAAGTTTTAACTTTTGAGGATAAGAACATTCTCCCTGTGCTGAAAAGTTTGGTTTTTTGTGTGTGAAAATCTTTTCACAAAACTTAAAATGTAGAAAAAAAGAGAGGGAGGGAAGAAGATTTTGGGGCAGATTTGGGAAGTGAGGTGAGAGCTTGATAGAGCTCTGTGACTTGCATGGTTTATCTGTAATTTTTTCATAGTTGGTTATATGCAGTTGCATGTTCTTCTTCTGCCTATTGATTTTTTTTCTCTTTAAATTTTCCCTCCTCCTTCCTGCTGTAGTTTGAGTCCAAGCTATATTGACTTGACTGAATGCCCCTACATGTGGCCCTATTGTTCTCAGCCCATCTATTATGGAGGGATGCCAACTATTGTTAATGTTACAATCCTCAATGGTATGGGAGTCACTGGGAGAATCGTAGACAAGGTAAGTGTTAACATTCTTCCAAGTTCTCACTGTTAATGTTGCTAAAAGCTCCCCAGAAAATACTCCTTTAGCTATGCATTTCCTAGAACAAATGTCACTGCTGAGAGCAAGAGATGCAGTGTTTGATTAAAGGGTGCACCCAGATGGGTACATTTGTAAACATGGGCTGTCCACAAGTGTTCAGGCAATGCACTGGTTTCAGAGGTGTGTAGCCTTTTATCTTTGTAAAACCAGTTTGAATTGAGATGGACTTAGAGATTTCTTTGTATTCTCTAATAGCATTTAAAATCTTTTGGATAGACTTTCCTCTTTTTTTTTTTTTTTTTTTTTTGGTCTGGAGCATTAATGATCTTAATAAAGAATCCTGACACTGTAAATCATGCCTCTTCCATGGGTCAGAGTGACCTGACTGTATGGACTTAACCAAGCTCTGCTGCAAAACCTGTTCTTTCACACCAGTGATGTTGAGCATGTTCGTTGGGTAGGGAGGATTTTAATTAAGTTTAAATGTAGAATAGATTTGGGAATTGAGACAAGTTAAATAAGGCACCTGTTGGATAATTCTAGCCTATGTAAATGAGCCCAATTTCCACATTTAAGGGTGAATCCAAGGGTGTGTGTTGGATTCAAGCTCACATTAAAGGGTGTTGAAGCTCTTGCCCGAGATCGTTACAGCTCACCCACAGCTGCTGTAATTTGGGGTCTGTTGCACTGTTAGCTCTCTTTACTGAAAGGAAATTCTGTGTCCTGACCAATAAACCTTTGCACAGGACCTCAGAACACTGAAGCATGTTCACTTGGGCAGTGTCCTGTTCAGGTAACTCCTCACAGTCCTGCCTCTGAAAAGCCTGTGGTCTGGGTCATTGGGCTGTCACAATTAGGTGATTCACTGACACAGTGCCAGCCTTTTGAGCTTTGTGGGCATTTTTAGATTTGACATAACCTTCAGAAGAGCTAATGTTTGTTACTTCTTTGTGCAGAGGAAGAGGGCTCTGTGTGTGGAAATTGGGGACTGCAAATGCTGTGTTACCAACGCTGTGTGTTCTCCATTCCACAGCCAGACTGGCAGCCCTATCTGCCCCAGAACGGGGATAACATTGAGGTGGCTTTCTCCTACTCCCCTGTGCTGTGGCCCTGGTCTGGGTACTTGGCAATTTCCATCTCTGTAGCAAAGAAAGCAGCATCTTGGGAAGGCATTGCTCAGGGTCACGTTATGATCACAGTGTCATCCCCTGCAGAAAATGAAGTAAGTTCTGTGTGTTTTGGGTTTTCTGGGTTAAGAAATGTTTAAACTGCATCCAGACATACAAATACCTTATTTTTAAGGGTTTGCTCTGGTCCTGTCATTTGAAGCATAAGTTAAATTGGGGTCGGGAAATTGAAGAGTACAAATAGTGATCTTTATAGTTGAGAGCAGGATTAACTGCAAAGTGGATATAATTGGAAATCAGAAAACTTCTCCTTGAGGCTGACTTCATAATTTTACTTGTTTATTGTGAATTTTTATGTGTTTTGGAAAAGATTACTCAAATATGTTTCTTCTAGAACCACATTTAATTGTTCCTGAGAAGCTTCTAAGGTTTTGAACAATTGAACCAAATCACAAAGTTGTAACATACGTTAAGTATTTTACATTCTGAGCATAAATATAAACTGTTGAGTGCAGAGAAAAGTACTGTGGTGACTCGAGGCAAAAGTCACCTCTTTGTCTCTAGAGCTGGTACTGGTGACTAAAGGTAGATTTGGTCCCTCCATTTCTCTGGTGTTTCACACTGTGGTTGGTTCTGTCCCTCAGTCCAAGAACAGTGCAGAGCAGACCTCAACAGTGAAGCTCCCAATAAAGGTGAAGATCATTCCCACCCCCCCTCGCAGCAAGAGAGTCCTCTGGGATCAGTACCACAACCTGCGCTACCCCCCAGGATACTTCCCCAGGGACAACTTGAGGATGAAGAATGATCCCTTAGATTGGTATCTGTCTCAGGTTCTATTAAATCAGTATTTCTTGATGTGTTAATGCTGTGGGATAACTTTACTGAATGCCAGAGAGCTCTGGCCTTTTTCGGTGTGGCATGGGATTACCTCTTCTAAGAAATCCATGGAAAGCACTTGGACTCTGTATGCTTTTGGTGCAGGATTGTTTTTTGTGCTTTATGGTTTTATTCACATGAAATGAAAAGCTTTTAAAATGCACATTTAAGATACTAAGATTTTTGTTTCACTTTTCTGCCCTAATTTCTCCCAGGAAGTTAAGGGAGGCACTTTGTTAACTGCTTCAGCACTCACTTATCAAACAAACATGAGAATTTAAAAGTCTGAATCCCAAAGAACAGACCCCTTGTCTGTTGAGGGAGACTTGGCTGAAGCAGGGAAAGGCTTGGTTGAGCTGTTACCTTTGGTAGATGGAGGGGGAAGCATCTGTAGGAAGAATCATGCAGCAGGGTCTCAGTGAGGATTGCTTGGGGCAGTGACCAGGACACAGGCTTTTGGAAAGCTGCTTGGAGCATGTACATACAGCAGGTGGACAGGATTTCAGGAAATCAGAAAGGTGGAAATCAGATTTCTGCATGCCAGATTGAAGTGTCTTCAACACTCTTTTCTTTCCAAGGAATGGTGACCATATCCACACAAACTTCAGGGACATGTACCAGCACCTGAGGAGCATGGGCTACTTTGTGGAGGTTCTTGGTTCCCCGTTTACATGTTTTGATGCCAGTCAGTATGGTAAGCATGAGTTAATTGCCTTGCTCTCCATACTGTTAACTTCTTCCTAAAGCAGCCTGGATTTTGGAAGACCTGAAGTGTTGTGGGTGTGCAAATAAAAATTCTCATGGTAGTAGAAAAATACTATGACAGTGAGTGTATTTATTATTTATGTGCTGATACGTTGTTATGTCAAGTGTTGCTGGAGAAGCTTGCTTGGCAGTCCAGGGGAGTTACTGCAGTTCCCTGTCCTTAGCATGAAAAAAGGAGAGGGAAAGCCCACCTCTGAGTGGCTTAAAAGTCCCTCTGTGTTCAGTCCCACAAAGTCAGAACTGTCTTTGCCAAAAGATTTTGGCACTGTCAAAATGCAGCATGACCTGTTTAGCAGCCTAAAATCTAAAGTGTCCATCCTGGTTCTTTTTTTCTGTTCAGTGATCTTTGGTTAGATGAAACAGTGGGGAAAGTATTCATCCAACCATATGTGATAGCAAAGCAGAGGGGGGCTTGTTTCTGTGTTCTTCAGGAAGGAAATTTGATAGACTGGACAGGGAGGGGATGAACCAAGCTGTCTGTGCTGCCTTCTGCTCCCATGTGCCCCTCTGTTTAACCATGGTGTGCTCCAACAAGACCCCTTCTCTTTTGGGCTGCAGTGTTCTTCACTGCACTGTAAAGTCAGAGTGCATTCTCCTGACAGTTTTCCAGTGCTTGAACTGTTGTCAGTAGTAATCTTTTGTTTATCTTGGTCCTTCAGTGTATATCTCACTATTGCTTTTTGAGTTCAGTGGATGTGCAACTGGACACATAAATGGCAGCCCTTAAAAAAGTAGCAAAACAGTTTTTCTTCTGAGACCACTAATTTTATAGTTGATAGAGAGCATCATTAGGGAACTTCTCTCTCCTCTGATTCACCACTATGTTGTACCTCATTTGATGAGTAGTTTTTTGGACTTCCAGAATTTCCAGAACTTCCTCAAAAAGTGGGAGGAGGAAAACTCAGTGATCTGTGGTCCATCTGCCACTTCTCCCAAGGTTGTACTGTTGCACACCTGGGTGAGAGTGCACTCTGTCCCATCATCCATGTCATTAGCATGGTTTCTACATGATCTTTATCAGAAGGCTTTCCAAACACAGACTGCCTGGACCTGTGGAATTGGCTTGGTTGCAAGGGACTGTGAGACATGGAGCCAGTGTCAGTGGTTTATCAGGTTGCTCAGGGTGTCATCCTGTCAAGATTTGCATTGTCTCTGAGGGTGGGAATTTCACCACCTCTGTGGGCAGTCAGGAAGCCAAGAAGCAGAATGGCTTGGTATTTAGAAGCAGTCTAAAAGCATAAGCACATTTTCAGGGAATAAAAATATGTTTTTCTGGTAGTGTTTTTTCAGTGATGAAGAGAAGGTTGTGCTTGCATGTTCACAGGAGTGGAGAGGATTATATGCAAGTGGCAGTGACACTTTAGTCAGGTCTCCTAAAATGCAGCTGTAGTTTTCAAGGTGTGAGTCAAACCACACTTCAGTGTGATTGCTGTCTCCCTGGCTGCCAATCTGAGTGGTGAGTGGAGTACCTTTTAGAGTAGTGGCAGTGAAAAGCTTCTAACCATGGTGCATCTACATTAACACTTCAGTTTGGATCAGTGGTGAATCCCCCACAGTTTGGGTGAGACCAAACTGCAGAATACACACCTGACATACACAGCCATTTGGTTCATGAGACCACAGAAGCATGAGTCATAAGTAACACCCTGAAAGCTTACTATGATACCAAAATGATTTTTGGATACATTTATAAACAAAAAAATGTCTTATATTTTCCATCCTTAAATGTGACTTCATTAGGTGAGCTGCCAGAGCAGGGTACACAGACCAGATATTGCCAAAATGTGCACTTGTGTTGACTCCTGCCTGGGGTGTGTGAACAGTGATAACATTGTAGGGAACAGCCTGGTGAGCTCCTGTTTCTGCCTTTACACACAGGGACTTTGCTGATGGTGGACAGTGAGGAAGAGTATTTTCCTGAAGAGATCACCAAGCTGAGGAGGGACGTTGATAATGGACTTTCACTGATAGTCTTTAGTGACTGGTACAACACATCTGTGATGAGAAAAGTCAAGTTTTATGACGAAAACACAAGGTACTGATTTATTTCCCAGTTCCTCAGGAAATAAAATGCCACAGAACTGCCATTTTATGCAGTTATACCCGAAAAATCCCAGATGTGATATGCTGTACTTAGCACTTGGATGCTGCCCATAAGAAGTGATTACCTGAAGAGCAAAACTGACCTTAAGCTGCAGCTTAATGAACATAGCTATTTTATTATGATTGCAAAGGCCCCTTTGGTAATGTAATCTTCTAAAGCCTAGAAGAACATTTACAATGAAAAGAAATAAGAAATGGGGGAGTGGGAAACAAGAAAAATGGACGTGTTTTCACATTAGGGGAGCAGAATAGAAAGAAAATGTGCATTGCAAGCAGCATAACCAGGTTGTGCACCTGTTACTGAAATTATTCCAGGTATCATATAAAGAAAAAATACTTCAGTATCCCCAGTGAGTAACTGCTGTAGTTGCCAGGCTGTTCTGTGTTACTGTTGAACTAGAGAGATCTGTTCTGCAGTTTGTGAGCAAGTGACATTTTGCTTCATTAGAAAAATGAGAAGCAGGTAAAATGACTGTTGGTTTTGCCTCAGCTTACCAAACAAAGAGCATGAGACTGAATTCCTTCTAATAAATTGAAGTTTTCCATGCAACTGAAATGCACTGAGAACTTTACATCAGTATTACTTAACTTTTGCCCAAAGGCACTGGTGTCAAAGAGAGACAGCTGCTCACACACCTCTGGACTTAAATAAGGCTTTGAAATGTAGTTTATATCTAAGTGACTTTGAAAAAGTCTGTGTGCAGAAGACACGTGACTTTTGGTTATCCAAGTATATTCTGTGTATTAGTAAACAGTGTTACACTGTAATTTTTACAGGCAGTGGTGGATGCCTGATACTGGAGGTGCTAATATCCCAGCTCTCAATGATCTGCTTTCTGTCTGGAACATGGCCTTTAGTGATGGGCTGTATGAAGGAGATTTTACCATGGCAAGTCATGAAAGTGAGTACTGGAGTCCATTGCCTGCACAGGCTACAGTGGGTTGTTTGGAAAACAGTTTTCTGAAGGTGTGAGTTGGGTGGGAGTGAAGGGAACCACTCAAATTCAGTGACAAGAGGCTCATAAGATGCTTAAATAATTAATTCTTTTGTAGACGTTTTCGTAGTATTTGATTAAAATTTTCAGTTTAAAAAAAGATAATGCCAGTCTCCTAAATGGAAAGATTTGAAAACAGTGTGTAAAGGTGAGCCTGCAAAAGCTGTGCTGAGAAGTGCCTCGTCTGCAAATACACACATTGGTCAAAGTATGCAAATTCATGCACATAAATGTGCAACGTTTTCTTCTGGGAATGTTTTCTTCTGGGCTTGTTTTATGGTGGGAGGGGAGAGAGTGTTGTTTTTGGTCTAAACTGCAATTTTATGGTGATGTCTTTCAGTGAATTATGCATCAGGGTGCAGTATTGCAAAGTTTCCAGAAGATGGCATTGTCATTGCACAGACTTTTAAGGATCAAGGTATGAGCTTCTTGTCTTTTCTCTGTGTTTTAGGTAGAACTTTGGAGTCGGTGCACAAGCAAAGTTGCAAAGTCTAAAGGTCTAGAAACAGTGAGTGTAAAACCCCATGGACAGGGTCAGTGTTTTTTTATTTTGCCTAAAACATGTAGTTCATGCCCAACAGGCAGCTGCAACATGACTCTGTATACAGTTGTTCTGTAGTACAGCACCCCAGTGTATATATTCAGTTTATTGTGATTGCTGTGCGTGAACACATCCACATGGACATGTTGTGCATCTCTGAAGGGGATGTGTTGTAATTGTGTCACTTGCTCATGTTTGTCACGAATTTCAAGTGCTACTGAAATACGTCCCCTAGTCACTGCCATAGTGAGCATGAGTGTTGTGGTAGCTGTGGTGACCTAAGGGTATAAGTAAGGAAAATTTCAGTAGACAAAATGTCAGCAGCTGGACTCTTGTAAGGGACAATATTATGCATATTGGAGGCCTGTGGTCTCAGACTTCAGTGATCTGTGCATATCTGTTCTCTTTACTTCTATCATAATGTCTTGTGAGGTGGAAATTCAGAACTGTAATGGCAGCAAGCAGTTTAAAAAAACCATCTTGTATTTGCTGAGCCTTTAGGAAGTGCTGTGCAGGAGCAGAGGAGCAGAACTGCAGGTCAAGCTGGTGTCTGTGGGTGTGCAGGGTTTGAGTGTGAGAGCAGAAGCACCTGCAGAGCTTCTCATACAACTCAGCAGCTGCCAGAGAAGATCAGTGAGTTCATCATATTTTTGACATCTGATGTGCAGTGGAGGTGATCACCTAGTGGAGAAACTTTCTGGAACAGTAAGGAGATCATCATGTGAGCCTTTTGGAGGAAAGAAAATATCCCTGTATGCTGATGACTTAGGTATTTCCTTGTGTGAGAGAGAGGAAGGCAGAGTGTCAGTTTGACAAGTAGCCTGATAGACCTGCTTTTTCTCTTGAATCCTTTTCATTGCATTTCATGAAGCTGAAGAGCTCTCTGGTTTGCTTCTGGTGTCTAAACACAGTGTCTCAAGCAAAGGGCATAAATTTCAGATGCAAATTTGAAATTTATCGGTCTTTATTTTTTGAAATGGGTGTTAGAGGTGGGAAACCTTTAACCTAAAGTCAGCTTTCTGTAGAATTCTGCAGAAGGGCTGAAACAACAGAAATAGCAGAACATTTTGGCTTTAAACCTTTTGCTGAGGATACTAGAATTTTTAATCTAAGCTTGTTCAAGATAATCCAAACCATGAGGTCTTTTCTTCTTCTCCACCAAAGAAAGAAAAAATTTATTATCAGTAGGAAACTTTACAGCCAGGGTCCTGAAGCAGTTTCATTTTTATCATAACATCATGGGGGCTTTGAAAACTTTTCTGTAAAGGCATGTGCCACAGTGTGGGGCAGAGCTGCCTTTGCCAGTTTGCAGTGGAGGGTAAGTTGATATTGATGCTCTGCAGGCTATGGAATTTATTTGTGCTTTGCTCTAGGTCTTGAAGTTTTAAAACAGGAGACTGCTGTCATTGAAAATGTCCCTATCCTGGGGCTTTACCAAGTTCCCTCTGAAGGCGGTGGCAGGATTGTCCTGTACGGAGACTCCAACTGCCTGGATGACAGCCATCGACAGAAAGGTGGGGAAGCCTTGTTGTCTTAAACTGACAGCTGTCCGGGGGGGGTTTTACAGCTCCATCAGAAAGAGCTGGGGTTTGGGGACTCTAAATACTCCTTCCTGGGGATTAATCTCAGTTCTGCAGAGCTCTGCTGGGACGCCGGAAGGTTCAGTTAAACAAAAGAGCGCCCCACGTTCAATGGCCCTCTGGTAGGTGGGACTCTTTCTCCCCCACACCATATTTTTCTGTTCCACAAGCTTTGGAGGCTGGTTTTGGGATGGTGTTTTTTGCAAGGAGGGGTTGATTGGGGGTTTTTTTGCTTCTTTGGGGTGCTTTTGTTTATAGAAAGCACAAACACATGCTTGATTTGAGCTGTGAAGGGGCCATTAGAGGATCCCTTCACTTGTTCCCTAGTTACATTTCCAGAATATTTATATGGAACAATGCATTTTATCTTCTGAGTTTGCTCATCAGCCTGCCTTGTTCCCTTTGCAACGTTTCCTGTGAGGATTTGTGGTGATGTTCAACATTTCAGTTGTGCATTACTATTTTCTGTTTATTCTGCTTTGACACAAACCAGCTGCTGAAAATGTGTCAGAAAGTAGGAATTCCCATTTGTGTTGTCAAAGTGTTTGTTTGCAGCTCCAGGTAGCAAGTGTGTGAGGGGGGTGTGTGTGGTTTCTGTGAGTCCCAGAGAAGCCATGCTCTTTGCCTACACACTGTGGGTGATTTTTGTAAAACATTTTTTTTTCTAGCACTTTGTCTGATCTCACTTTTCAAGTTTTTAAGAGGTTGCTTGGGTGTCTCATAACATGTAAAGCACAAGCTGGTAGAACTGTGGCTTGAGGGGACAAAGATAATCCAATATGCAAAGTCTTTCTGCATTTCCACTGAACAGAACTAGATTTTCCTTTTGTGATCAAAAGTACATCTATAATTTTTTAAGCTTTTGTCACTGATATTTTAAAATATTAGGTTATGCAATCCATCCCTTGCCTAATTTATTTAAGTTTAAAGGAAGTTACTGCCTGAGGGAGCTCTCCCATCTGTAGCTCATATCTTTCTCTCCACACATTTTGGGGTTTTTTAAAAGTTCTCCAGTTTCTCCTTATCTGTCTTTGAATTGCTTCCTGTGAGTTGCCCTAACACCTGCCTAGCAGTGCCTTAGTGCTTGCTTTAGGTTATTGAAAGCACAAAGCATAGGAGAAGATACATAGCTTTAAATTAAGTAATAGAAAATAACTCTCTGTGACCTCTCAAATGCCATCAAATTCAGTGTGACCTCTGAAGCCAGAAAAAGTGGAAGGCTTTAAAGAAATCCTTTAAAATTAGCTTTTAAATTGTGAACCAGGAGCTATGTCTCCTGCAGAGACATCGGTGGCTTTAACTGAGGTAAATTCCTAACATTTGTGAATATAAATCCTTAAAATCTGATTGACCTCTTTAAAAAATCAAAGGTGAGGGTTTAAGGGACACCAGGATTATGAAGATTAATTCCCATTCCCAGCCAAGTGTTCCCAGGGGGAGAAATTCTGAGAAAAATAGTTTGCTGTGTGGTGGAAATAGCTAATAGGGCACAGTCCTCCTCCTGCAAAGGGAAGTCTTAGAGAGTTGTGGTGTTAACTGGCTGGAGTGCTTGTTTGTTAGGAGGAGCTCTGGATTAAGGTAGCAGAGTTCAGGAGAGAATCAAAACCAGGGATCACGTGCTGTTGAAGTGCAAAGGAAAACCATGATCCAAGTGTCTTGTAGCATTGATTCCCAGGCTGGCCTGTACCACAGCTGCTGTGGGTACTGCTTGTGCTTTGCCTGGGTGTACCCAGAACGTTTCCCCTTTGTTTATTTATTTTTTAAGCTTGCGGAAGCAAATGAGTCATAGCCTTGCACTGAAAACACCACCTTGTTCTTACTTTTCAAGGTATTTATTTTGTCCTTTAGAAAAAGTAGTTAGTTCTCCATTTTACTTTTAAAAATGATACCACACTGAAAAACCTCGTGATTTTTGTCAGGACTTGGACGACCTTGCACAACCTGGAATTCCTCTATTTGAGACCTGCTGTTTTATGTCCTGCTCCCCAAAGGAGCCTGGTTTGGTACAAAAGAAAAGATATTTTAGGGCTGACGAGATTAATTTTGTTTTTGGGGATAGTGTGTGGGAAGTTGGATCTTTCTGAAAGATGAGGCCTAGAACTTCAGGAGAAAAGCAAGAGCCAGAAAAACAGATTGTACTTCTGAGTGTCATTGGAGCCTTCTTAACAGAAAGATAAGCCATTTTAAACGTGGCATAATGCATGTCTTGTTTTGGGGCTGTGAAATCCACAGATTGCTTCTGGCTGCTGGATTCCCTCCTGCAGTACACGTCCTACGGGGTGATGCCACCCAGCCTCAGCCATTCCGAGAACAGGCAGCGCCCGCCGTCGGGAGCAGGACACTCCCTCCCTGAGAGGATGGAAGGTGAGAGCCTTCATCACCCAGCAGAGCCCTCGGCTGAGGGACTGGCAGGGTAGGAAGTCTGGGGCAGACCCCAGTAAGGGCAGTTTGTTGTGAGCTCTGCTATGGTCTGTTGTTTTACTAGAAGAGAGCACTTACTGTGAGGTTTTGTCGTGATGTAGTTGTGGTTAGACTAAACAAAGTGTTCTGTTCTTACAGATGGAATATTTAGATGCCTGGTTCTGCTAGGGAGCATTCTAGTTACTGGCTACAGAGCAGTTATAAAGGATTCAGTCTTATCTCACGTGCTGCCAGCAAAACTTGGGTTACCTGCTATGGCAGGTGCAGACTCGAACTGTTTTGTAAGGTACCCTTTGGTTAATTCTCCCTGAGATGTAGCTGTGAGTCACAGTCACTAAGCAGCACTGTTTGGCCTGGGGTGAATGTTGGTAACTCTCATCCTGCCTGTGTTTGGTAACCCAGCCTCTCTCTGCTGTGAGTTGCAGGTAACCATTTGCATCGATACTCAAAGGTGCTCGAGGCTCACTTGGGAGACCCTAAACCCCGGTCCCTTCCTGCTTGTCCTCACCTGTCCTGGGCCAAGCCACAGCCTTTGAATGAAACTGCCCCCAGGTTAGTGTACATCTTTCTTACACAAGAAGTCTCATTTTCGAGTTCAGCTGAAAAATTGTTTCTTCCATCTGCTTTTGAAAGGGACAACTGGAATGCCTTTCCTAGAGAACTACCAGATTGCAAAGAGGAAATAATCATAAATGCCTCTTCAGTGAATAATTGTGACTCACCTAATAGCTACACTGTGAAACTGGCATTTTAAAAATAGCTTCACCAGTCACTGTTGTGATTGAATGATCCCAGCTCTGAGTGAACAGTGTTGCCCAAGCCCATCATCACTGTGTGCCTTTGAAATTTCTGAACCAGCTTCTTGGACAGCTCTCCCAGTGCTGCTTCTGTCATGTCATTTGTCAGCCACTCGAAGGAACGTGTGTTAGCACACAGCCCTTACCTGTCTGCTGAGCTGGTCATGGGTCCTCTTGGTAGTCTGTGTGCAAGAAAGAGAGTTGTTAGTAAATAGTTGCTCATCTGGGTTGTGTCCCTGTGGTGTCTGAGTTTAGGTTTGGAGACCTGCAAACTGCAGAACCTAAAGAATGGAGCAGATTGTCATCTGGGTCCAAACTAGTGAATTAGACATAGCTTTCAACTGTCACTTTCTGTATGTGACAGAATTTCTATATGAATTCTCTTGCTAGAGAATTCCTTGCATTACCAGTAAGTGGGCAGACACCTCTGTCTTTAAATTTTTTCTAGCAACCTCTGGAAACATCAAAAATTACTGTCAATTGACCTGGATAAAGTGGCACTGCCCAGTTTTCGACAGAACCGACCCCAAGTGAGACCATTGTCCCCTGGAGAAAGTGGAGCATGGGACATTCCTGGAGGTAAATACTGAAAACTTTGAAAATTGCTGGTTTGCTTGTGCTTTTTGTATAAGTTCTGAAAAATAACCCAAAACCCAGCACAGCCATATGAGAGGCCACTGTTGATTTTCAGTTGCAAAAAACACACAAGTAAATGTATGGCTGTGTTAGAAAAGGCTGACAGATGTGAACTCTTTTTGCATATGAAGAGTTTATTCAATACAGAGCGTCATGACATGCTGGGAGGAGGAGTGTGGTGGGTGCATTTTGTGTAGTTGAGATTTGTTTTGGCACTGCTCAGACTGACAGGTGTCAGCAGCAGCCCCTGTCCTTGGGAGCTGTGGCCACATACCCACTGCTAATTAAAGTTCCTTCTGTGAGTGCCCAAAAGCAGAGTCCAGAAGCGTTTGTTGGATTGGTGCCTTGGGCAAGTTATTACACTGGCAAATCATGGCGAGGACTCAAACCAGCTTTCAGTCTAATGGTGGGCTGCTCTCCTACACAAGCTTGGCACTGAAGACCCAGCTGGAAGCAGTTTGAAAGCCTCATACGGACTCTTTTCCCAGTTTGAGCTGCTAGACCAAAGGACACCTGTAAAAATGAAGAGTTTGTTTCTACAGCTCATTCTCACTGTGTCCATCCCCAGTGTCTGGAGCAAGCATGAAATGACTTTCCTTGTTCCACCAGGATTGGAATTGCAGCAATTACTTGCTAGTAAGATTATGGTCAAGCATCTGCATCTCTCTTCTAGTGCAGAACAGAAGATTGTTGTTACAGGGGAAATCTGGGTTATACTTTCATGTGCCCAGATAGATCAAGGTGGAAGTGCTGGTGCTTTTCTGTAGCGTTAGCATCCTGTCTTATTTTCACTAATCGGTCTGCAGCTGTTAATCTCTCTGTCTGAAGTGTAATCTGATTAATGGCTGCCTGCTCTTTGAACAAGAGTTACCGTCGGGTGGTTTAGGCAGGTGGCATTAGCAGCACACAGACATCGGAGCTCACGTGGTGAGGACTTGCCTCCAGCCCTCTTTGCCTTTGCAGGTATAATGCCCGGCCGGTACAACCAGGACGTGGGACAGACTATTCCGGTCTTCGCCTTCCTCGGTGCCATGGTGGTCCTGGCGTTCTTTGTGGTGCAGATCAACAAAGCCAAGAGCAGGCCAAAGAGACGGAAACCGCGAGTGAAGCGACCGCAGCTAATGCAGCAGGTTCATCCACCAAAGACACCTTCTGTGTGACAGCTCTGCCTCGCCAAAGATGAGCTCCTTTCACCGGCGGCTTTCCTGGCGATGGATCGCTCCCGGTGAAGGTGCAGCAAAGGCAGCACTGATGGGTCTAGTGACGTGCACCTGACATCATCTCATAGTCTTTGGCTTCTGGAGAGAAAACGAAAGGACCTCATTTGATCATCTGTACATAAAACTGCAGCTTTAAGCAGCTGAAGCCACCAAAGACTTGAATACTGTTTAAATGGCTGCTTAGTCACTACATATCCCAAGAGGGAGAAAATGGACCTTTTTTTTAAGCTGACCAAACTAAAATTTATTTGTTTAGAGGCTATTTTCTATATTTATTGTTGGGGAGGGCGGGGGAAAAGTCACTTTAAGGACCTCTGCTAAGGAAAAACAAGTGCATTTTTTTGGATGGGATGCAATTTTCTAGAACGGTATTACGCTGAAGAGTATAACGTGCACCATTAAATAAGGGAGGGGGCAAGAGAAACCAGTATAAATCAGTGAGGCATACTCCTGCAGTTTATTTTTATAAAGCCAACTACCATGATGTTTTGTAATTTTTGGTCATGATTTCACCGTTGTTGGTGAAGCAGATTTTCAATAAATATGTTATCTATATGAAGCAAAGACAATGTGCTAAGTGGCTCTTCTTTCCACTGGCAGTCACAGAGAGCAAGTTGTTGAGTAGAGGAGATATTCATGTCTCCCCTCTTCCCACCATATCTTTATCCTTACCGGCAGCATCCCAAGCTGCAAACTTTCCTTTGGATCACCAGCTGGGCAGTTGTACAAACGGTGCTTGGCCTGAGTGAGCACGAGGTTCTGGAAACCTTCAAAACACAGAAGCTTGTGGTGAGAAGAGTGCTCCCAAAGAGCTGAAGAAAAAACTGTCCTGGGGATGGCACCTGCCAGCACAGTGTGGTGTGTCACAGAGCCAGAAACCCGGTGTCCTTTGGTTGGTCCTGCCTGAAAGCCTGTGACTTGTCATTGACTTCAGTAAGTTGCCCCTGTCCATGCACTGCTGGTTAATGTTGCCATCGCTGAGATAGCTTCTCTCTTTTGTAGCAAAGCTGTGAGGTTTTCCCTGCCAACTGCTGCTATCACTGCTCCACATGAGCACCTTTTCCCAGGAGGAGCCAGGAGCTGGTGTCTGCTTCTGTTGGTCAACAGAATCACAACTTGGGCAGGTAAGTGCTCTGCACTGGTGAAGGGTCCTGGGTGAGCTCTTGGGCAGCCCTGGGCACAGCTGGAGAAAGAGAAGGTGACAGGGACAGCCCTTCTGGGTGGTCTGACTGCACCCATCCTGTTAGGGCTTACGATCCTGGATGGTGGTGCTGGGCCTTGGAAAGGGCACTGCAGGAGAGAACATTCCTCCATGTAAGCTGGGACAAGCCTTTCAAGGGGTGGCTGTGGATAGGGTTTGCCAGTGCATGAGTATCCTGCAAAAAGGATTTGGAAAAACCCATTTTCCCTAACCTGGAGAGTGGTGGGTTTTTCCAGCATGTCTCTTCTGAAGATGAGGATGCACTCGGTGCAGGAAGAGTCAGAGTCCTGTTGCTATGCCAGAGAAGGCACTGAGCTTTTGCATTGGAACCATTAGTTAGAAGCTCATTAGGGCTGAGGAGATGGTCCCAAGGTTGGGCTGCTTGTGCCATTCCAATGGGATTGGAGCCCGTTGCTCCTCTGTCTTCAAACATGGCCCTATGATGGCAAGGGAGAGGTTTTCACCATCACAGCTGTGGCATTGGGGTCTCTCGTAGGGCCAACCAGCAGCAGCTCTGCAAGTCATCCTGGTTACAAAAGATCTCTCAGTAAAGGTGTGAAATCTCAAGGGCCAGACCTCAGAAAGGGTTGCGGTAGCAAAGTGTAATTGTGGCTGGTGTTTTTATTTGTCCAAAACGAGGACTGTCCATTTGTATTTTTGTACCTTTCACAGTCTTCAAAGACAATAATGTGGAAAACATACCAACAGCCCCTTTTCCACCTTGCAAGAGGACACAGCAGCAGGTAAAGCTGCCAACCCACAGGGACCCTTGGGTTACAGCTTGCAGCTTAGGGACTGGAGCACCCAGATAAATGGGAGAAAGAGGGGAAAATATAAGCGAGGGAGCCCAGAGCCACTGAGCAGAGAAGCCGCCTGGGGCTGCTGTGCCATCGGAGGAGAGGAGCTGCATCCCTTTGGTCTGAAGTCCTCTGATCCATCAGAGGGAGCCTGGAAAGCTGTCACTGCTCAGGTCAGTGCTAATGAGGAGTCTTGCTCCTCTCATTGCAGCACTAATGAGAGATTAGAGCCCCACTGCAGCGGTGAAACCAGAGTCAAGCTGTATCAAAGCCCCAGTCCGAATTAAGAGCCTTTCCCAGTGGCTGGTATTTTACAGCCCAGTGGCCAATTTCTAAGTCGTAAAGGCCAATTATTTCCGAAGCCTTTGGTGTGCAGCTAATGAAGGCCTGGAAGGGCCCTTCTAAGTGGTTATAAGCCCTGTAGGCGGCAGAGATGTAATGGAGGTGGCAGGCACAATTAGCCATCCATAATTCCGCCGAGCAGCTGATTAAAGTCTCTTTATCCGTCTTACCGAGATCAGAAGGGCACATATTTGGGAAATCAAAAATGTATTAGAGGCTGTCAGCCAGGGTCTGTGTGCTGAGCCCGGGGCAGTGGCAGGTGCTGGGAGCAGCACAGAGCTGCTGCCTGTGCCCCACGTTGGGATGGACCCCCCATCCTGCGAGTGCAGCCTCCTCTGTGCGGGTCCCTGGCGGGACCAGTCACTCCATCCTGGTGTCCCAGCACCCCTTCCCCTGTGCGGAGCAAGGGGTGGGATGGGGTGGGATGGCTCCTCTGCAAGGTCTCTCAGTGCAGGAAAGTGCCACTGGGCTTTTAGGTGCTGTGTAGACATGGAGGGGTGCTGGGCTCAACAGCCCAGCAAGTGAGGGAGTGCCCATCAGCCAAATGGGCACTTAATGCAGGCCACCTTCCCTCACCATTCCCAGGGTGCTCCAAAATAACCCGTGGTGAGAATTTCATGGATGGGGTGAACACAGCAGGAAGAGGGAGGCCCCAGCCCTGTGGTGGGAATTTCGTGGCTGGGAAGAACGCAGGCGGAGCGGGGAGCCCCCAGCCTGCCCGCCCCAGCCCTGCTCTCGGAGCTGCTGGGGCTGCTGCGGGATCTGTACGAGCTCTGTGAGACCTGGGGACGCGCAGGGACAGCGGGACGCGGCTCTCGAGCCGGGGCGGTGCAGGAGCCCCGCGGGCTCCGGGACGATGCCCGCTCCCCGCGCCGGGGTGGGAGCGGGACGGGGCTTTCCGTGGGTGAGCTCCTGGGAGGGGGTTCCCACGGGCGGCTCCTGCCCGGCCCCCGCCGCCCCCTCCCCACTGCCCGCGGGGGCGGGGGGTCCGCGCTGCCCGCGCCCGCCCCCGGGGGCCCGGCGGAGGGCACGGGAGGGCACAGCCCCGCACGGCCCCGCACAGCGCTGCGATGGAGCGGGCGGCGGGCGAGGCCCGGCCCCTCCTGCCATCCCCGGGGGGCTCCGCCGCGCTCCCCGCCCCCGGGCTCTCCTCCGCCGGCGCCGTCTTCATCCTGCTCAAGTCTGCGCTGGGCGCGGGGCTGCTGAGCTTCCCCTGGGCCTTCGGCAGAGCCGGCGGGGCCGTGCCCGCCCTCCTGGTGGAGCTGGTAAGGGGGCACTCGGGGGGGACACGGGGGCGAAGGGAGCCGAGCGGCGCCGGGATGGGATGGGATGGGATGGGATGGGATGGGATGGGATGGGATGGGATGGGATGGAGAGGGGGGTTCACCTGCTCTGGTGTTTGGGAGCTGGTGGGGACCCCCGGGGCAGGGGTGCAGCAGCCTTAGGGGATGCCCTTTGCAGCTGAAGCCACACTTGTAGCTGGCTTGTGGCTCAACCTAAAATCAAATTGGTGTGTGCTCCCATACATGTCCCCAAAACCCAAATCTAAACCCTGTGTCTCCATCCGTTTGCTGACCTGTGTTACCCGGGCCCACAAGGCAACCTGGCTGCTGACCTGGGCCCTGGTCGTGGCCCTGCTGGGTCCCCGCTGGCCCCGCGGGTGTCGGGGGGTCGGTGAGATGCTTCCTGCCGGTGCTGTCCCCGCAGGGCTCGCTGGTGTTCCTGGTGAGCGGGCTGGCCGTGCTGGGCTATGCGGCGGCTCTCAGCGCCCAGCCCACCTACCAGGGGGTGGTGCGGGCGGTGTGCGGGGCGGCCGTGGGGAAGCTCTGTGAGCTCTGCTTCCTCCTCAACCTCTTCATGATCTCCGTGGCCCTTCTGAGAGTGGTGGGCGACCAGCTAGAGAAACGTGAGTTGTTTTCCCCCACCGCGTTTGGGGCTTGCTTGGGGCCGGCAGCTCTCGGGAGTGAGGGGGAGCTGGTCCCAGGGTGGGCTGCGCTCAGCCCGGGGTTCTCCTGGAAATTCTGAGGACGTGGCGCTCCCTGGTCCTGGGGCTCCTGCCACAGTGTGATGCTCCCGACCCCCCTGGGCCACCTTTCAGGGTGCAGCTGAACCCCCACTGCCCCCACAGTGTGCGACTCCCTGTACCCCAACGGGACGCTGAGCGGGGCCCCCCAGCCGCCCCCCTGGTACGTGGACCAGCACTTCACCCTCTCTGCTCTCTGTGTCCTCGTCATCTTCCCGCTCTCTGTCCCCAGGGAGATTGGCTTCCAGAAGTACTCCAGGTACTGCCTGGGCTATCCCTGGGGTGGCTCACCCCTGGGTACCCTGTACCCCAGGTTTCCTCCCGGGAACCTGCAGGGCCACGGGACCCCCCTCCCTTTCTCCCAGCTGTGTGCTGACCCTCTGCCATGTCCTGGCAGCATCCTGGGCACACTGGCTGCCTGCTACCTCACTCTGGTCATCATCTTGAAATACTACCTGCAGGCAGAGAGCCTGAGCTTGACCAGCCCCCCCCAGCCCTCCAGGTAAGGGGGTCAGCGCCGTGTCTCTCCTGCCCTGACCTCCATGACATCAGCAGTGGTGTGGGGCAGGGCTGGAGGTGGGGCAGGGCTGGAGGTGGGGCAGGGCTGGAGGTGGGGCAGGGGTGGTCCTGGGCCCTGTATGTGTGGGGCAGGGGGGAGCTGGGGACAGCACACAGTAGTGGTAGGTGAATGGCAGCTCCCAGTCCCATCTTTCACCCCAGCAATTCCCCTTTCTCCCAAAATCACTGTGGAGGAGGTTCCCATGGTGGCATCCAGGCTGCACAATTTATGCCACCAAGGTTCCCTCTGCTTTTGCGAGCCTCACACCCTCTGCTCTGTGCTTCCTCCCTACATGCCACAGGTCCTCCTCCTGGGCCTCTGTCTTCAGTGTCATTCCCACCATCTGCTTTGGCTTCCAGGTAGGTCACCCTGGCCCCCCGGTCCCAGCTGCCAGGGCAGTGCTGGCAGCCTCCCACAGCATCCCAGACCGTGGGGACACCATCCCTTGAAGGGGAGGCTGCAGGGAAGGGGACCTGTGGCTGTCACCAGAGGTGGCTGCAGGGCAGGATACAAGTCCCTGGGGATGGGACAGAGCAGGGCAGGGCACCTGTAGGTGACAGGGAGGATGCTGAGGGTGGGGGTTGTCCCTGCATGGGGCCCCAGCACCATCCCCCTTGCCTTGCAGTGCCACGAGGCATGTGT